CGCTGTTTGGGTGTGTGTGTCAGACGGGGACAGAACAGGCAGTTCCCAATTGCTTTCCATGATTTCCTCACCCAGATCTTGCCCAGGCGGCATGTGAAGGGCATCTCCTCCCGTCCCGGTTGACGACGGGACACAGTGAGGGAGAGTTCATCCAGGAAGCAATTCCGAAGCTCCAATTCATAACATCTAGCAAAAGAGTAATGGGAAAGTGAGACACAGTGGCTGGCATGCTATTACTAAGTCCATCCTGACTGTCCACAATGCTTTCTATGGCCAGGCACTTAAGGCTAACCTTTTGATATTTCTTTCCATCATCCACATGCATAGTGCTGAATGGGTAAAGATGACAACAGGATCCTCTCTACAGGGGAGCATATGCTATAATGCCATAGAACAAGGGGAGAGCCTTGTGACAATAGCTGCTGCCACATATGAAACGATTTCATTGGAGAAAATGAGTAGAGACAACATTCTATCATTTAGGATTCACTCACCGATTTTGCCAGCCATGTTCCCCACGCTGCTCACATCCTCTGAGGAACCGGGTGAGGCCAGGAGGAGGCGTATGAAGCAGGGAGGGCGTATGTCGTGTTGGTTCTGCTGCGGAAGAAACATCCAACAGAGCAGAGGAAAGAGAAGTGAGCCAGCAAACCTGGGAATGACACCCGCTAGGCCACTTCAAGGACGCTGCAAGCATCCATGCAAGGAGTCCTCAAAACAAAAAGCCTTACCTGATAAAGTAGATGCCCCCCTGTCAGGGCGTGACCATGATTCTCGGGTGGTGAGCAATGGTGCCAGAGCCGTGGCTTGAAGGCGGTAATCGTGTTTAAAAATCAAGACCAGGAATAACCGCGAGGGTGCTGGCATCTGGAATGAGAATAGCCTGGTAACCCCCAAGCCCCAGACAGGGAGAGAGACAGAGAATACACCGTCACTGCCAACTCTGGGCCATGAAGCAGCACAGCACTATCTGAAAATGAAACGGTCTTGAAGGCCCAGACCAATGAGCTCTACCTCACCTGCCCACTTTGCACAAGGGAAAGGATAACACAATTGGCTCTGATGAGCAATGGAGGGAAGGGCCTTACAGTTGACCATACGATTTCTGAAGCAGAGAGCTGAAATTAAAAAGGCCTCTATAACTACCATGATGATTCTATAGGTAGCCTGGCTCCATGCCATCTAGGGCAGTGATGGCGAACCTTTTAGAGACCCAGTGCCCAGACTGCAACCCAAAACCCACTTATTTATCAACGGGTGCCGGGTGGGTGTGGCCACAGTGGTCATGGCAGACTGGGTGGGCGGGGCCAGGATGGCGGGGGCCAGTCCCTCATCATCTCTGGGGCACAGCACGCGTGCCCACAGAGAGGGCTCTGAGTGCCACCTCTGTCACGCGTGCCATAGGTTCGCCACCATTGATCTAGGGCTTTATAGGTCATAGCCAACACATTGAATATGCTTTGTAACAACCACACCAAACTGTTGGTTCACCCTTGGACATTATGCTCTTTTGAGACATAGTCACTTTATTTTGCCTATATAGAATCCTTGTTTAGTTTCACCCAGTACTTTCTGAAGTTTTAATTAAAACATCCTCATTTTTTTTAGTCCCTTAAAATACGCCCACCCCAATTTTTCACTGGACAGCTGCTCTTCATTCCCTTCCATTTCTCTCTGTCTCTGTCTCTCTCCCTTTCCCTCCACCAGGAGTTGTCTCTCTCTATGTCCTCCCCCACCAGATTACAGGAGTTTTTTTGGAAACTGCTGCTGTAGCTAAAGACCTAGGGGAAAATTGGAACTTTATTATATATGTTGATTGCAGCAAGATATATATGCAAAAAGGGAATGATACATCAATTCCCACTAATTAGGTGTAAGTAAAAAGTTGAGATTGTAATTCTGTTTATAGTTTACTAAGTTGGAACATCTTATTTTTTATTTGTTTCTCCTTTACCCCCTCCCCATTTTCCTATTATCTTTATTTCTGTTTGTATTTTATATAAACTTAATAAAAATGTATTAAAAGTTATGGAAACTGCTGTTGTTGCTGCTGTGTTTTATGAGGGTGTTAATCTACTCCTGGCCAGATCAAACACAACTATGCCAATTTCTCCACCAAATCAGAGTTTACATTCATGTTTATTTTTCTTGTTTTCGTTATTCATGTCAGCCCCACCTTCTATGATCAAATCTATCCTGGGATCCCCACAGAATGAGAACTAATCCAACTTTATCCTCTCTTCAGAGCAAGAACAGACTCTCAGCCTGAGGCATCCTGGACCAAAAAGTGCTTTGAGGGAGAAAGGGAATGAGACATTTTCCACAGAGAACACTCCAAATTCTCTGTTCAGCAGCCAGAAAAGAGACACTCCACAGAACACACCCTGGCCTTGTAAACTCAAGACAACACAAGAGACTCTTTCTCAACAGGTGGCCCGTAGGCTTGGCTAGGACCACGCATACAGCCAATTCAAGGGATTAAGGGCAGCCCAGACAACATCGCAAAAGAATGTTTCTCAATGGATTCTAAAAATGCACGAACAAAACAATGAGGAAATAATCTCTCTCCGGGGTTGCTCCATCTGCTTGTTCTTTGTGATCAGGGGCACTTCCAAAATTTGCAGGGTGAAGAGAAATCTACACAAACGTCTCCCAAACATCTGACCCTTCTAGGGTTTGTTTTAACTGGGATGCACACTAGCTCAGAACCAAAATGATATCTGAGATCCTAACAGAGACGCTTTTTGATTGCTTGATAAAAGAGAGGATGGGGCATTTTGTGACTGAGCAGGCAAAGCACCACTGGTTTATGTTTTTCATTCAGAAGGCCTGGAGAAACGTCTGCTCCAATGTTGTCTTTGTGCCTCCATACTTTGATGGGAACACAGTCGATAAGGAAAGTGGCTTCCTTTCCTCATTTCGAAACAACTGGTCCCATCACTTCCCCCCCCCCCCCTGCTGCCACCTTAGTTCGGATTACCAGGTTGCTGATGGGAGAGCCAGAGCTGCAGCATGGTGTACTTGAGGCAGCTCCACCAGTCAAAGGAATGTATCTGGCAGTGAGGAATCCAGGTAATGGGCCCCAGGGGAGCCCAGCTCTTCTATGATTGCCCGCTTCTTCCTTAAGCCTCAAAAAGGGTGAAAAATATGAATTCTTCGCCTTTTCTAGTTGTGGGAATACAGGTAGTCCTCGACTTACAACCTTTCACTCAGTGACCATCTGAAGTTGCATGGCACTGAAAAGGTGACTTATAACCATTTTTCACACTTATGACCACTGCAGCATCCCCCATGGTCACATGATCAAAATTCAGGTACGGGGCAACTGGCACGTATTTATGATGGTTGCACTTTCCCATAGTCATGTGATCACCATTTCTAACCTTCCAGCCGCCTTTCAACAAGCAAAGTCAATGGGGGAAGTCAGCTTTGCTTAGTGACCGCCTGATTCACTTAACAACTGCAGCGATTTGCTTAACTGTGGGGAAAAGGTCGTAAAATGGAGCAAAATTCAACAACTCTTGCTTAGTAATGAAAATTTGGGGCTCAGTTGTGACTGTTAAGTTGAGAAGCACCCTCTCCTGCTACCTGTGTAAGGTTCCTTTTGCTCTCAAAGAAACGGTGGGATCAGCAGCTCTAAGAAAGGCAGGCAGTCCTACCCTCGACTGCACTGGCATAGAATTTATCTTTGAGCAGCCATCAATCACGTTTGCCAACTTGAAGCAGACTTGGCTAGTTGGAAACAAAGAGAGAAGCCCGAAGACTTACATTGGGGAGCACAACTCCCTTCTTCTGTAATCTCAAGTAGGTGTGTGCGGATAAGCAGTGGCATGATAGAACACTGACAGGACCGTTAAACACTTTGATGACCTATGAGAGGTAATATTCTAAGGGACATACATCAAAAGCTGCTTCAGCAAGAGGCCATTTATAGTCAGGAGCCCCCTTGGTTATCATACTCGGCCCACATGGTTCGTTGCATTGCTGTCCTGAAAATGCTATACTTTGGGAAAAAAAGGACAAGGCGTCTCTGGTGGATTCTGCTTAGCTAGCATCCCTGAGGTCACCCTCTCCATCACTATCTCTAAGACTCAAAAGAAGAAGGCCAAAGTAAGGAGTCTTATTTAATGGTATAGGCCAGGGGTAGGCAACCTCGGCTCTTTTATGACTCATGGACTTCAACTCCCAGAATTCCTGAGTCAGCACAGCACAGCTGACTCAGGAATTCTGGGAGTTGAAGTCCATGAGTCATAAAAGAGCCGAGGTTGCCTACCCCTGGTGTAGGCTCACCCTGCCTTTTGCAGTCCTGCATACTTAGGCTTCAAATAGCACCTAGAGGAGATGCCTTTGAGTTTCCAGAGGAAATGATAGCAGACCTTTGGGGCTCTTGAGGGAAGGAGCACAGACAACATCTGGTGAGCATCTGGTCTTCCTCACAGGTGTTCGACAACATAAAGCCTTCTGGAATCACCGGTCATAATTTAATGCAGACACTCTGAGTCGGAAATGTTTCGTTTTTAGAGCCCAGAAAGAGGATGGCAGGCAAGGAGGTGCTGCCCTTGAACTTCCCTTTCTTCAGTAAGGGCCGTGCAGGTGGCATCTCTTCCACAAGCCACAATCATTGACTATTGGCTGACTTCAGGTTGCAGAAAATTGGTTTTTCATCCACCTTGGCCCTCCTCTGACAGAGACCTTTGCTTTTGAGTGGATCTCCCTATGCAGTTCTCACCACTCCACACTTGCATTGCTGAGATGGGATGACTCTTTTGTAGAGCTGCATCCCTGAGCTTAAGGGATCTTGTAGGAGGGGAAAGTGCCCAGAAAGAGAGAGAAGGACTTCTGAGACTGATCTTGTAATTCCAATTGGAGAGTATCAGGTTTGAGAAAGGTATAAATGTTACCTGGGATTTTGCCTCCCGTCAGCACTCACCTGGTTGTGACGTCCTCAGCCTTGGCTGGGATGGCCCCCTCCAGCAGCAAGGAGCTGCCTCCACACCAGGCTTCCTGCAGGCAGCACCGGGTCCGCACCCAGCCCCTGTCAGGCATTCTGTGGCTGGCATATATTGGCTGGATCTCTTGAGCACTTAGGTTGTACCACGGCTCCGTCCTTGTCTCCTGAGCAAAGAAAAGAGCCACTGCAGGCTGAGTTGGGACAGCTCGACTTACAAAGCACGTTGCCCACAGTAAGGACTGCTCTTGCACATCTAAGGGCCATTTGCACTGGGAGCCCCCAAACATTTTAGTAGCCTTTGAAGATGTGACTTTCAGTACAGGTGTCCTTTTTTCCTGCCCCAAAGCAGCACACCTTCAACACCAGCCACACACTTTCATTTTCTAATAAATAAGCCTCTTCTTTCCAAAAGTAATGAAAATACAAAGAGGTTCTCTCCAGATCAGCAAGCACTGACACCCATCATTTTCAAAGGGGTGGTGGTGGTGGTGGGGGAAATGGCTATTCTAAAGGCTGTCTCATTTTCTATTATAAGACACAGAAAGGCTGAAATCCTAGAGCAACTCTCATGGAGCTCAAGGAAAGCTGTTGGAAAATAAGGGAGAGTCCTAGAAAAAGATTGAAGACCAATAACTAGTCACAGAACCTCCTCTGCAGAAAGTCTCCTACAATCCTCTATGGCAGTGGTGGCGAACCTATGGCACGCGTGCCAGAGGTGGCACTCGGAGCCCTCTCTGTGGGCACGCGAGCCGTTGCCCCAGCCCTGCCTCCCCGCCCCCGCAACCCCCTCCTCACCAGCAGCCTGCCTGGAGGAAAGTCTCCTCCAGGCGCGGCCCACGAGGAGCAGCGCAGCCAAGCACATGGCAGCTGGGCCGCAGGGGCAAGACTCCGCCCTCGTGCCCCATCACGTGCAGATGATGCTAGGGGGTTCGGGTGGAGGGCGTGGCTGCCATGGTGCTGCAAAGCCACCTGGGCGATCTGTGGTGAGTGGCCCTGTGGGGGGGAGGAGCGGGGGGGCAGAGCGGTTTTTGGGCACTCGGTCTCTAAAAGGTTCGCCATCACTGCTCTATGGTATTTGAAAGACAGCGATGGCCTTAATCTCTGTATGAGACCACTAACTAGCCAGGCGATCGTGAAAGGTTAGCTCTGGCCCTGAGAGGATTAAGTCACAAGGAGAAGGACTGGCACTGCCCACTCATTCCCAGCTCCATTCATCCTCCCCAAAGTGTCCCTCTTTCCATGTGCTCCTACCTGTCCATGACTGAAGTGCCGATTACCCACACCCAGGTTGAAGCTGGTGCAAAAGGGGAGGGAGACGATGTGGTGAATAGATAGTAGTTGTGACAGCAGGGCCCAGAATCTACAAAGAGGAAAGAGGGTGTCACAGGAACAGTCTTTGCATAACCTCACAAGCCCAGAATCCACCACATCAAGAACCCAAGGTGGCAAAGAAGAGAGAAATGACTACATCTCCATCAGCCTGAAAGTTTTCTTCTGTTAGGCCTGCACAGCCCAGAGCCCCAAAGAGATGATCTGCTCATTGGGGGGGGGGGTTTCCTGAAGTCCATCCCTAGAAGGAAGTCCTTCCCCGCATAGGCCTTACTTATCCTCGTTGTTCAGGAAGTCTCTTGGGCCCAGGTGCTCGTATACCCAGCCAGGTGCGAAGAGGGCTACCGAAAGACCCTGCTCTCGAATCATCTGCAGTGACTGAAGAAACACAAGGAATACAAGAATCACCATTTTTCTACTGTGGGGATTTAGAGCATGGCTGGTTCGGGGCTTCTAGGAAAATAGTTCCCTTCCCCAAGGACAAATATTTTGGCAGCTGTCCTAAAAGGGTCATTTATGCCAAACATGACAGGCTTTTGCTTCTTGGTGGCCCTCAGAGAGAACCAGAATAAATACTGCAGAGTGATCTGTTGCGCCTGGCATGGCCAATGCCTGCAAGGCAGACTCCTGTTGTTCAGGGTGCCCGCCAGCCTACCTTCTTGGTATCAAAGCCGCTGCCCACAACATCGCCTCGTCCAAACACATCAACCCCCACATAGACGTCAGTCTGCCGGCTACTGGCTGCCTCTCTAGTTCGCAGCAGATGTTCCTCTCTCCAGTTGTAATTGGTGAAGAAGCCATCACAAACATCAAAATAAACTCTGCAAATGCACAAGCAAGGGAGGCAAATTAGAGCCAGTCTTGCCAACTAAGGCATAGAGCAGCGGTTCTCAACCTATGGGTCACGACCCCATTTGGGGTTGATCAACCATTTCACGGGGGTCGCCAAGCAAGGCTGTCCGCCATTTTTTCCCCTTTTCTGGCGGGTGCCTTACCTCCCTTGAGCTGGGCCAGCTGGTGGTCGGCCTGCTCCGTCTCTGCCGCTTGTCTGCCGCTTGCCAGCTACGTCTCGGCCGGCGCAGGGGGCGGAACCACGCATGCGCGGCGCTCCCAGGCAGGGAAAGTCCTCGATTTACGACTGGTTGGGTAGTCCTCGACTTACGACCTGTTTAGTCCTCGACTTACGACCGGTTTAGTCCTCGACTTACGACCGGTTGGGAATCGCGGCATTAAAAAGGTTGAGAACCACTGGCATAGAGCCATTTAGGGGTCTCCAGGAAAACTCCCCATGTCTTTTCATTTATTATGCCCAGAAAGCTCCAGCACAATTTTCTCTATCCTGAACTTTCCAGATTTGTCTACAAATCCAACTTGAATAGCCACTTGCTATGATTTCCAATACAAACCAATCTGGACAGCATCAGACTGGGAATATATTTTCCACCTTCATGATTTTTGTAGCCCAAATCTGCGAATTTCTTTACTGAAGCAACGATGGCCAAGGCCAACCCCCCCCCCCAAAAAAAAACCAACCGACTGGCTAATTCCATGGTGCTTTGTTCATTCCCAAATGAATATGAGTGCCCCTTTCACCGCCCCCCCCTGCTCCCCACCCACCTCTCCCAGGATTTGGGAGGGCACACCATCATGCATTAAGCCCCAATGATTAGAACAAGTCCCCTATGACTTTCACCAGTTTTTTGAGTCCTTACTAAGCACAGGACCTAATTTATAGGGCTTGCACATTTAGGGTTTTTGCATTGACATTCATATTTTGGCCTTCTTTTAAAGAACAAAATTAATCTCCTCCTCCATTTTCAGAACAGCCTTTCCAACTTGTTTGGTTAGAAGGTAGATATTTGCCCAAAGCAGTTTCATGTTAGCAATCCACTTACTGCCTCTTGTAAGTGCCACCACATTCCATGTGGTGCGATTATTGACTTTACGACTATGCCACCACCATTGCGTGACCAGTATTTCAAGAAGATGCTATATAACAGTGGTGGCGAACCTATGGCACGCGTGCCAGAGGCGGCACTCAGAGCCCTCTCTGTGGGCACGCATGCCGTGCCCCGGAGATAGCGAGGGACTGGCCCCCACCATGGCCCCGCCCACCCAGTCTGCCATGACCACTGCGGCCACACCCACCCGGCACCCGGTGATAAATAAGTGGGTTTTGGGTTGCGGTTTGGGCACTGGGTCTCTAAAAGGTTCACCATCACTGCTATATAAGGATGGAAGTTCAGTAGGGCTGCACAAAGTACTTTTAACTTGGATGCCCTGCTCGCCTTCCTCTTCTCGGCTTTTTGGAGAGAAAGAGAGAGATCGGAAAGGAAGTTTAATACAGGACTCACTTGTTTTGTTCATTGAGCTCGTTCTGCCACTTGAGTTCTCCACTCTTCAGGACACTGTCATACCACAACACTTGTCCTCCAGGTACCAGTCTGTGCACCTCGGCTGTCAGTTGTTGTAAGAAATGGGGCATCTTCTGAGCTGCCGAAACCTGCCAGGAAAGTTAAAACACAGTCACTCTGCTTTGCAAACATCGATCAATCATATCCTGCAGTTTTCAAACTGTGGATTGCAACAAAACCCCATTACCTTCCTACAGAAAACTATGTCCATCGTTTGTAGGAGTTTTTCTTAAACTTTTAAAGTCCATGGAATATCAGACAATCTATACAATTTTAATGGGGAACATTTATGACTGTTTCTAAAAAAAAAGAAAAGAAAAGGGAGTATTGAAATAAAGCATAGTTTATGACCTTGCATCCAACAACATTATTTCATCAATACATGGCAAGAGATTTATTCAAGTCTTAAAAAATGACAGAACGTTCAGTCTGCTTTAATATTTCTTTTTAATTATAGCGAATGCTGAAAATCAGTTTTAAGCGACTTTTCACATAAAATATCTTTGGGAGGATGGAACTACCCTCCAAAAGTTTTCTAGTAATGAATATTCAGATTTCTGTGTGACTGAAAGATATCTACCCCCTTCTCTTTATTTAAAGTAGGGAAGGGACATGGCTAAGGAAATAGAATGGATCCTAAATTTATATATTTATATTTATATTTGGATGAGAATCATGGAGTCAGATTTTCAAATTGTTTGGAGAACATTAATGTATTCCGGAAAATAGTTTAAGAAGCAGTGCTACACAGAATACATGAATATGTAAAATGCATTCCATTCCATTCACCATGGAGGTTTGTTTTGATCCAAACCATCTCCATTAAAGGAAAAGATTTGAGGAAAAGACTTCTCATGAATGAGGCGAAAGGAATTTTCCTGGATTGCGTAAGAAGGTGTCTATGGTCAGTAGACTTTTTTAAAAAGAAAATTAATGAAAATTGAAGGGAACAATTGTCAACTGATGCCTGAAAAAAGGCAAATAATACTCCTAAAGCAGGGGTGTCAAACTGCCGCCCATAGGCCGGTTTCATCATACTGAAGCCGCGCCCACCCCATTGCTGACAATGCAAGAGTCGTGATACATCACGACATGTCAAGTGACGTGGCGAGTTTGACACCCGTGCCCTAAAGCAAGCTGGAGAGGTGTTCTCATTACTTCATGGGTGGAAAAAATATATATCTCAGATTTAAAGAAGCATCTCTAGAGATTTGATCTAAATGAGGAATGCATAGCTCCTCACAATCACCACACACACAGGACTTGTTTGTTTGGTACCTTTAAAACACTTTTAAAATTTGCCACCAAAATGCCATTTTTAATTACACAGGATAAGAAAATTCTTGAATTTATGGGGAGTAAACATATTAATCAAATGTAATTATATTGACATTTAATTAAATCTCAACATAATCAAACCAAGTTTTGGACTTGGCCCCTTCATCTTCTTTGTTCTGACTATCTCTGCTTTTGAGAAAAAGAATATCAATGGCCAAATATCTCCTTCCCCCTTTCTAAATATGGATCCTCTGATTTAAATTCAGAAACTTCTCTTGTGATTTTATCAAAACTTTGCTTCAGCAAAGCAGCAAATAATGAAGCAGCATCTTGCCTGTTGATACACTGTTCCCTTTCTGGGATGTCCATGGGAAGGGGGTATCAAGAAATTCAAAATGGCGACCACACCTATGTGATTGATGTTTGCTCACTTCAATCATTTAGTCATAGTTGGCATCTAAAGTTTTTTAACCACCCTCTGAAAACAAGCCTGACTTCTTTAGTCTGACAGATGGACAGCCACACAACTTCATTCCACACTCTTGTCCGCCCACAAGACTTCCAGTCTGGAGGAATTTCCTTCCACTTCTTTACATCTTTCCTCTTGATTATCATTTTTCCTGAACCCAATATTATCTGCCTTGCTGTCCTCAATATTGCTCTACTTGTGAGTATCAGTTTTGGTTTCTAGTAGGATGTCTTTCCCTCTGGAACACCTAATCCCCCCTCCCCAAGATTCAGTGACCCCCAACCTTGCTGGCCTTCAATTAGGCTTCAAAGACTGGCTTTGCCCCAGACAACCCACTGGGTCAAGCCAGTGGATAAGCCCATCTGAAATGGTTTTGAGCTGAATGATTGTGAATTGGCCTCAACTGTATCAGGTCAATTTTATTTTTTTGTTGTTGCTACAAGTTGGAGGACAAATTGGTTGCTCCCCTTTATCTCTTGCAGACATCAGGATCTTTAAAGAATCACGGCTGGAACTGACAAAAGAATGTATCTACTCTATACAAAATGTATCTATGGTTGTTTTAATACACACATTATGCCCATAGGAACGCAGATCCTATACGTTTCAGGAACAGCTGTGAGGCTCCATCCTGGCTTAGGCCTAGCATAGATCTAGGTCAGGGGTGTCAAACTCAATTTCATTGAGGGCCGCATCAGCATTGCGGTTGCCCTCGGGGGCCGGGTGGGTGTGGCCAGAGTGGGTGGGCATGGCCAGTTCTACATCGTTCACGTCAAGGGTGCCTGTGGGGGCCTGGGCAGGAGTGGGACAGGTCTGAGGGTCTCTGGCAGAAGGGAGTGGGACCAGGGCAAGTGCCAAAGCATGGTCCATTTCTTCATTCCTCACAAAGGGTGACACCTCCCCAGCATGCACCCAGAGGGCGGGGCCGACACAGCAGGGGCTGGTTCCTCGCTGTTTCCAGACGGCCTTGTGGAGCTAAGACTGAATGCGTTTCAGCATAGATGGCCACCACAAAATTGTACATTGGCTCCCGGCCAGCCTGGGCTAGGGTCAAGGCAGAGGGGGCCGTTCCCTCACTGTTTCCAGGATGGCTTCGTGGGCCACATGAAACCACTTCGCGGGCCGCATCCGGCCCCCGGGCCTTGTGTTTGACATGTCTGATCTAGGTGTATAGGGAAAGGACAACCAGGAACCGTGACTTACATGCAAAGAGTTTTCAATGTTGACCAACCAGCCATCAAAACGATAAAATTCTGCGATTGCAGCCAGCTGCTTAGCCACTGCAAGGTAGGCTTCCTCCTCGCCTGCCAGAAACGATTCGCACATCTTCTCCCCCTCTATCCACTCTGTGATGAACGTTCCTGCAAGCAGGAGAGGCAACACAGGAGACATTGACTCTTTTAGCTTTTGTCTGCTTCAAAATCTCTCTGACCAGGCCAGCAGGAAGTTAGCACTGATCCTAAAGAAGGAATATCAATCAAGCAGGTTAAAGAAGAAAATAAGAGAACCAGATCCAGTATTTTGCTTCCCAATTAAATGCTTCTGGGAAATCCACAGAACATAAAACTGACACCAAGCTAAATGTCAGAAAAGTCAGAAATAGTCTTTGCCATTAAGCAAAGCCAAAAAAGAGGGATGGTATCGGAGGCATTAAGGAGCCATACCACAATTCCTGGGATTGCAAACTATTCCCTACGGAGAGTAATCCAGTTTGCTTTTATTATTTTTTTAAATTGCATAAATAATAATTATAGATACAAAATGGGAGCTTTTTTCGCCTGGGAGTTCAAGTTATCTCCTCTCGTTTTATCCCAGTAACTCTCAGATTGGGTTTGATAGAATAACAGGTCTTGAGACACCCGGTGAGTTTCTGTGGCTGAAGATGGGCTTGAATTCAGGACTAACCAGACCTAACCCAGGACTTTGACCAGGGCCAATGACAGTTCCTATGTTTTGCAGGAACTTCCAGAAAGAGGAAAGAGTAATAGGAATACAATCATCCAGCAACAGATAACAGCACAATGCCAAGTACACAATGAATGGCAGGAGAGTGATTCTATTGTTCCAGAACAGAGCCCTCCATCTCAGAAGGAAGGACAGGGAAGGATTCCAGAACATCAGCACTTCCTTACTGCATGCGCCAAATATGTCATTTTCAGAGGAGGGCTCCACTCGGGCCATTCACCCTCTCTTAAACCTACCTAGCATGAGGACGCCGTTGCGGTGAGCAGCGTTAGTCCACACCACTGGGGGGATGGTGACCAAGTGATGACTGAAGTAAACAAAAATGTCAATGTAGCACCAGTGGTAAAACACGTAAGGGTCACGTACCTTTGCGCCTTGGATGAACCTGCAGAGGCAATGGGGGCGGGGGGGGGGGGGAAAAGAGAGAGAAAAACTTAGCAAAAGTCCAAAGGGATGCAATGCATTCAGCTTTACACCCCCATAGGCCAAACTTACTCTGAGTATTTTATCAGTCTGTTCAGGCTACTCAAACCAGCCAAAGCTGTTTATCATTTATTTTACTCCACCTGAAGCAAGGGGGAGGGCTAGCTCTCATGCTCCCTTAGGAGATTTTAGATTAACAACTGGATTTCCCCTGATAATTGCAGAAGCCAAATTTAATTCCCTGTTCCCTTTTAAAGCAAGCATTCCAAAGCCAATTTCAAGAAGTACAGGAAGCCAATAAAACAGGAGATTGTTTTGAATGACACATAATGCAGCTAACGAAACTGCTTGGGGACCGGATCCCTTGAGTGGAGCACAGATGCCAGAAAGCAGACTGGGGAGGGGAGGGGAGGGGAGGGGAGGGAGGGCAAAACTCTTGAATCATTTTATCACCTCACTGTACTTTTCACCATAGATCACTCCAGACTGGAGAACCCCACAAACACCTCTACAAAGTTACAGCCCTGGGGCGGGGGGTGTTTCACGGATTTTTTTTTTTAAATACAAAAACTACTTGCTATTTACCTCAGCCATCCCCACAATTGCCTTGCAGATGTATGGAGTTCAGCACCTGGAATTCCTAGGCCAACATGACATACCTGAACATTCTTGGAATTGAAATTGAGGATGTGCATAGGAAGATGTCAGGTTGGGAAAGACTAACCGACATCACCACTGATGTCACACATAGTTTGGTTTTAAAAAATGTCATCTGGGAAGCCTTTATTTAAACCTCTACCTGAACACTCCTCCTCCACATTCCATTTTCAATATGAAAGTATAATATTCTGTGGGACCATTGTATCAATTATAAGACTATACTGTTTATAAGACTATAAGATTATATGAAATGCTTTGATGAATCTTGGTTTGAATGCTTCATCTGGCCACCCCAACTAACCAGGAATCCCTGGCAGGTGACATATGAAATCCTATCCAGGATAGCCAGGAGGTACGGAATGGTCCCAGCAACTTTAGCAGAGAATCAGTTACAAAGCCTGCTTTGTTCTCCACCTGTCTTCAAGATAGCCTCCCCTCATGTCATGGCAGACCAGTGTACGGGGCCGGTGGCTGTCAAGAGGGGGCTGGCGTTTAGCCAATGGTTCAGTAGACACATTGAAAGCATCATCCTTGGTGGGTTTCCAAGCAAGCAGCTCTTCCAATCCAGAGAGGTAGAAGCTGATTGGTTCAGTGGTTTGCCTGTCATATTGCCTGGCTGGAAAGAGAAGGTCAGAGGTTATGGCTTCAGGCAGAGAAGTATTCTGGTTCCCTGGGAATGAGAATGCAAGCCACCCAACAGCAAATCGTACCAGGGAGTGGATCAGGAGCAAAATTGACCACTCTGTGGAGAACAGAAGATCTTCGGCTTTCCATATCCTGTTGCAAACTGAAAAAAGGGGGAAAAATCAGAAAGATCATAGAAATATAGAACTGGAAATAATCTCAGAGGTCATCTATTCCAGCTCCCTGCTTAAGACAGACACCTCTCCATCTTTCGGTTTGAAGACTTCATTTAGAAGTCTGGATGTTCATTAGAGGAATATCATACCACTGGCAGCCTCTTCCATTGGCTGACACTCTTAACAAAAGGAATACCTAATCTGAATTTACTTCCGTGAAGTTTCAACACATTGGTTCTGATCCTGCCCTCTAGGCCAACAGCAAACAGGCCATCTTCCTCCTTTCTATGACAAATTTTGATTATCTAAAGACTTGTCATGATGCTCTTTGTCTTAGCTTCTGTGGACTAAGTTCCTTCAATCAGCGTTCATTGGACTTTGTTTCCAGTTTCCTCTCTAATTTAGCAATTCTCCTCTAAAACTGGTCCAATTCCTCTATGCCTTTTTTGGATTGTGGTACCCAAAACTAGACACATTTCAAATGGGGCCTGACTAAGGCAGAGTAGAGATTACTTCTTGAGAATTGGATGCTCTGTTCCCATTAATACATCCCAAAAGAGCAATTTGTCTTTCAAAAGTTCCCTTCCTCGCCCCACAATTATTCTTCATACTACGGGAAGACAACTTTATTACATAAATGGCCATATTTATTTCTATGCATTCAATACATTGCGTCCAGACACATTCAATAATATGTGCCTGGGTGCAAACAAAATAGTACAGAATTATTAAACAGAAAAACATGGACAAACCCCCTTACTAGTTAAAAAACTATTTCTCTCAATTCAGAGATATAGAGATAGCCTGTATGAACAAATATTTGACTGTCACTGAGAAGACACCAAACAAGGCAACTTTCTTGGTGAAGAACTTGATGAACAAAGTATTTCCAGTAAAATGCTATAAAAAAGACTGAGTGTCTGCCCAGTGATATTCTTATCTGAAGGATTTAAATGAACAGGAACATATTTTCTGCAGAGATTTAGATTCTGAAAAGACTGCAATAGAATTTGGCCTACTAGAGAGACCAATTATAAACGGAGTTCAGTTCTTTAGCAATGTGATCCTGATGTAGGCAAAGATTTTTCCAATGAACTCAGGGCCTTATTTGCACCTCCAATCTCTAATCAGGGTCATGTCCCTGCTTGGACATAGCCGTGGCACAATCATTCTTGGCTAGAGGAATGAAGAAAACATCATGGACCTTCCACAAGGTCACCAGGATTCAAGTTCAACCTGAAGAAAACTATGCCACTTTAAAAATATCAACAAGCTGAACTGTGAGCATTATTTACATAGCTTGCTGTATAAACGCATCAAGCAATCTACAAAGTAGCATCAGCAAAAACAATTAATATATTTTTACCAGAAAGCAACAAGGGTGTGGTAGCTTTGTGGTCACCATTTCAAACTCAACTGGATGAAGACTTTAAGTTTTTTTTATGTAAATAACAAGTGGAAGGAAAGAGTACCACTCATTAGCACTCAACCAGATTGGCACAATAGCACTTATACTGTAGCTGTGTGGCCTTTTCTGCTTTGGTGTAAGGCTGAAATAGCGTAACAGCAAAATGATGGGAAGGAGAGAAATTCTAAAGAAAAGTAATCTCTCCCATGAAATGATTCCATGCCTTATCTTGGTTCTGATTCTTCCTTACTTTATTAAACTTGTGTTATAGCAGTTAATTAAATAGTATAAGTGAACATTAATACAAATATTAAATTATATATAAATATTAAATCATGTACTGATAAAGAATACTTGTAGCTCAGTGTTGAAATGAGGTGTCCTTGGTGCTCTCTGAGCTTGGTTTTTTTCTTGCAGACATTTCAATGCTGATGAAGCTTCCTAGTTTGGGTAATGAAACGGCTGTAAGAAACAATCAAGCTGAGAGAGTACCATGGACCCCTCATTAAATTTTATATCAAAAATATAAATGAAGATATTAAGGAGGTACCCAGAGATGACAGATTCTATGACCAGACTTCTCCCCCTTTGGGCTGTGATGCTACCCAGGTTAACCAGGTGATGTCAAAACATCAAGGAAGGCAGGGCTTTAATTGTGCAGTTCTGACACCAGATTGACTTTTTTTTTAAACTTTTCCCTGCAGACACCCCTGATATCATGATTGGTATATATTTTGCTTTGCAGCTAGTAATGTGCTAAAGGAGGACAGCAGAACTAAACCAATTACTTTGTGGATGCCATGACAGAGTCAGGATAAGAATCAAGAGTAGGAACAGAAGATTTCAGGTCAAAGCTGGTTTCGGCTGACTCAGAATGCTTTAATTTTGTGGTAGGCAAGTCCTACTTCATCATCCCAGGTTTCTGCAATTCCACTATTCTTGGAATGCAATTCCACTTGTTTCCAATGTTGGGATGCTAAGATTATAATCTCTGCAGAGTTTCCTGCAAAGATGTCCTGCAGGAGTTCATGCAGATCTCGCTTTCATCTGTATAAATAAGGGTGATACAGGTAGTCCTTGACTTATGACCACAATTGGGACCAGAATTTCTGTTGCTAAGCCACACAGTGAGTTGTGCCTGATTTTATTACTTTTTTTGACAGGGTGTTAAGTGAATCACTGCAGTTGTTAAATAAATCGTGTGGCTGTTAAGAGAATCCAGTTTCCTCCACTGATTTTGTGGCTAGGAAGGTCACAAATGGTGATCACATGAACCTGGGATGCAGTAACGGTTATAAATACATTGTCAAATTTTGATCAGGTGGCCATGGAGATACTATGATGGTTGTTAAGTGTGAGGGTTGGTCATGAGTACTTCAAATGGTCACTGAACAAATAGTTGTAAGTTGAGGATTACCTATATGGACAAATCCTGCTGATTAAGGATATGTAGACTTACTGGTTAAGCCACCCTAAATGTGTGAGGGGGAAGCTCCATTTGATCCTCCCAGCAACAAGGTAAGGCTGCCATTATTACAACATCAAGATTTCCCTTAATATTGCCTCAAATTCTGAAAAGGATTCGAATCCCTTTGAACCAGGTTAGATCTGGCTTTTCTAGAAACCATAGGATGCTAAAGGCATGGCAAGGCTTTATGGGAAATCTATGGTTCATGAGAAGCAGATTCAGACATATTCCCCATCCCCAGGCAAGGCTTGCTTTCCTATGGTAGCAAGGCCCTCAGCCTAGCTGGAAAAATGAAGGAGATGGATGCAACACATCAGGAGGTCACCAAGTGAGGGGAAGCAGAGTTATGCCAAGGGACCTGCTCATTCACAGCTCCCATCAAAGCTTAACCTGGAAACTCAGGATTCCCAAGTGACAGGAGCCTGCTTCCAGATATGGGAAATAACATAAACCAAGAGATGCAGAGTTGAGAGAAACTTCTAACCCATCTCTGAAGACTCCAGGCTTGCTTTCAGAGTTCAGCTCTGCCTCCGAGAACCCATTTTCCAGCCCAAAGTTGGAAGGGCTAAAAAGGGAGCTTCCAATTAGCCAGTGAAGCTCGCCATGCAAGCCACCTACTTTGGGGAGAGGGGGGGAAATGCCACGAGGGAGCGTGCAAAGACCACTAAAACTCCTCTTTGGAATCTTGGGCAGCACCACATTACCATATGCCACTACTAAGCCAATTAGATCTACAGTATTCGTGCAATCGAGCTGTGGCAGAACCTTGAGTAAGAAGCCGGCGTACCCTCTGAGCGTGTGCAGAATGTTTTTCAGAGCAACAACCATCATTCCGGCGACACGCTTCAGGCTGCCCCGTTATATGCCCCCACCGCACCCCCGCCCGGCTCCCATTCCTTCCTTACCCCAGCCCAGGCCTGAAGCGCCCCTTGGTGGAAGCCTGGTCCTCTTCCAGCCCGCGCCCGCTCTCCTCCTGGGCGCGCTTGGCCCCTCTCTTCCTCCCGTCCAGCTCAGCGCCTTCCATTGCTGCCTCTCTCTCTCTCGCGGCTTCCTTCTCCTCCTCGTCACATGGAGCCACCTCCGATCCCCAGCCAATCCTCGCAGCCGCTCCACGTCTTTGCCGCGAAGGCAGCAATAGCAGCTCCGGCTGTCCAGTTAACCAGAGCGAGGGGGGGGAAGCTACGCGGCTGCTGTAGTCCAGAGCAAGGGTGCTTTTATAGTCGGCTACGAACGACCTTCTTCCGGGAAAGAGGAAGAAGACGTGGGCCACTCTTGGAGGAAAGGAAACCACGCCTTCCCATTAAAATTCCCTCCAGAATTAACTATAAGAGTGGCAGTTGGGACAAAGGAAAACGCACTCTGCCTATTCTCAGAGGCTCTCTCTCTCTGATCAGACCTGTGAAGTAATTTCAGGGGTTGAGTCTCGGCTGCCGAAAACTTGGGGGGGGGGTGGTCACATGGGGAACTCTCCTGAGCGTCAGGCTGATGGCTAGATGTACTTTCCTCTTAATTCTGCTCGACGGCCCATCCTTCGGAAGCTTTCTACAATAATGTCCAAATAAAACGCTTCATTTCTGGGACAAGCAGGCAGGCAGGCGAGCCTGTCATAGCATCGCTCAGAGCAGCAGGGTCGATAGCCATTTGCGTATGGTTCGAGGAATGTGGTTGTCGTACAGCACTTTAGCTATAGATATCAGATACAAGCATTTAATAAAGTACATAAACATTTAATAAGTGAACTAGTGTATTGAAGTAACAAGGACCTCCGTACTTATATGTAATAGTAAGTGCCCGATTCCCGTGCCTTTGCACTGTTTGCTTATGAAAAGTTCAACAGCTGGCTCCACAGCCTAAAAAAAAAAATACAAATACTAGGCAGTCCTCTTTGACAAAAAGATCAAGGCAAGAATGTTGGATTCCTGAATATGCTCTCTGTCCTACAGAAAAGAAAAATGGTTTTGTAAGTTACTGTGGAGAAATCACATGAATTTGGGGCAGGCTCTGGAATGCAATCTTCCTGAAGCTTTGCGGAGAAGAATTTTAATAAAAGAGACAGCATAGTGCATGCTGGGTATTTTACTGATGCATAACATATCTC